ATTTTGAAGTACAAAGGTTGGCTCATTTTACAAACAACGTGATACAGCTGTTATAAGTTTAGTAAGTAAACGGTATATTTATTAGCAAACATAAGGTATAAATTAGTTTCTATGTTAATAATTAATAATTATAATTGGTACTGATTTTTGCTAAGACGTCTTAAATAAATAATGCATTTATGAAGACGTTCACATAAATACATTACTGAATTCAAAGTGAAATTCTTTAATATATGTAATCTACATAATAACCACATTACCACTCCATTAATTAAAGGTCTAAAAACATACTAGCCCGGTCAATTTAGACATTCGAAGTTACATAAAGTCCCAACAAGCTGAATTTCTGTGAAATTGTTCAAAACATAATTATAAACAATGTCTAGAAGTTCCCCATCATTCCCGTGTAAGGAAAAAATTTTATTCAAGAGCAAAGGTAAAAAAAATGAGTTTTTCGCGATTTTCAGCAAAACTGTAAGTTTTATCTTAAAAGTACCTGAGACAAAATTTTAGATCATACAATTATCTATAAAAATGTATCAATACTTTTTTTCTTACGAGCCACCGTTTCTGAGATATAACGATTCAAAAAGTTATAAAAGTTGTTATCGTCATAATATTATGCACACGTTTCTACGCCACGTATGAGGTTGTGTACTAAGCGCGTTTTTTTTAACGTGGTTTCCCCAGTAGGCCTACTACCACGGGTCAGTTGTGATCCTGTTTAATGTAAAACTATTGCAAAATAACGGAAATTTTCAAAGATTGGGAAAGATAAAAGCGATGTAAATTAAAAAAAAAGTGTTGAAGTTTATTCGTCTTATTCGTAAGTTTCAAATTCTTGTTCTTCTTCTCCTGCTTCTTCTTCATCTTCATTTTGGATGCAAGTAAATTGCGTCAATAGCGATGTATCGCATGATACTTCTTCGGAGTCAAACGAATCCTCCATTGTTTGTGATTCAATATTAGAGCACGACCGGCCTTGACAATTTGTGCATGCCAAAGAACAAGACAGTCCGACTTTTTTGCAACCACATTTAGCTCTGCATCCCTTTTTGCAGTTGCAAAATATAGTGTTCAGCAGTTTTTCCGGCGCAGGTGGAAGTAAAGTTTGAACTGGCTCTAATATATTGTTGACCAACTTCCAACCCCAGTCTGTAGGGTCTAGCTGATAACCAAGCCACACTTGAACTTGGTTATATACTCGAAAAAGATGTTGGTGAGCAGCAGCTGGGGTTGGAGGAAGACAAGCTAATTGAACTTGTTTTTTATTTTTAGTATTTTTAACGAAACATGCATATCGATATGCTTATCTAAACAGGTAGTTTTTTTAGGAGCTCCGTACATAGAAAGAAGAAAGCGGATGCCGTTGGTAATAACTTCTTGTTGAGTTGAATTACTCATTTTAAAAACTTCAGCACATTGAATTAAATCTTGTTTTTCAAACATTTTGAAAACTGCTGTTTTACCCCTCCTGTAAAATGCAGATGTCGTATCACAATTATCGTACACGTCAGGAAAATAAATAATATTTAATTAATATGTTGCAAATGGTTTATAGTTTAAATCTTGTAAACTTGTGTTTTTTAAATTGATGTCTCGAAGTAACACTGGCTTAAAGATTAAGGGACTGGGTTTCATTTTACCTGATATTCTTATAGTTAAAACTTATGTATATTTTATATTGTAAGTATAAGTTACAATGACCGATAGAAAAATATTGAAAATATAACAATTCTAGATGTATATACGTGGCGTACTCATGCATATTATGACGATAACAACTTTTATAACTTTTTGAATCGTTATATCTCAGAAGCGGTGGCTCGTAGAAAAAAAGTATTGATACATTTTTTATAGATAATTGTATGATCTACAATTTTGTCTCAGGTACTTTTATGATAAAACTTACAGTTTTGCTGAAAATCGCGAAAAATCATTTTTTTGACCTTTGCCCTTGAATAAAAATTTTTCCTTACACGGGAATGATGGGGAACTTCTAGACATTGTTTATAATTATGTTATCAACAATTTCACAGAAATTCAGCTTGTTGGGACTTTATGTAACTTCACTCTCATTTTTTGGTCTAAATTGACCGGGCTATACAGTGGCTATCTATTTCGTATTGACGTCTGACTGCATTATAATCTGTTATTTGCGAATGTGCACTGTGTTCTATTTTAAATTGTATTTGAACTATGGTCAGTTCCAAACGTAATTAAGGTTTTAAATTAAGTTTTTCATTATTACATTACGCAGTTATGGGAGTGGAAAAATCACGAGAATATTTATACAGGTAAGTTACATATGATCAATAATTTATTCATTTTATTTTAGGTACTATTTCTATTATTCTTTAACTATATTTTTTATGAATTGTCACTGGGACATCCTTGAACATTACAATTTAACATTATTTGAGACAGAGTGTCTATTATGAGACACACTGTCTTGCTGTCTTGTGTCCTTACCAGAGGGTAAGAGGAAAAATAGCACTATCGTGTACAAACACTAATTTTCTAATTTGAAAGATTTTGTCCATTCAATCTACTTACTAGGCCCGGTCGTGTTAAGAAGTTGAATAGCCTTGCCATTTAAGTGATGGTGGAGCCTTTGTTCGTGAGCTCCCACATCTTTTTAATTGGATTTGCATATTACGAAAATACCAGAGAGATTTCATAATTTCCCTGAACACGGATTTAGGCAATCTTAAGATTATTTCGATCTAGCTCTTACTGGTACAGTTCCACAGTTAAATAGACCATGTAATATAGACCATAAGTCTATACGCATAAGGACTCTTTCTAAAGTGAAATGTGATATAAATTCTAAAACAAAAGTTTTCTTTCCGTTATTTTAAATAATTCTGCTTACAAATTTCTTAATATCTACTTGAAATCTACAGCTCCACTCTCTAGTGGATTGTTACTTTGTAAAAAATCTCGGTCAAAATTATAATGTAGCCCTCACCTCAAGTCGTAACTCAAGAAACGGTGATTCACAGCAACGAAATAACTTAAGACAAAAACTCAGAAAAGCCCTCAGAGCTCGCGATCAACTTAATTAAATTGTCAGGTTTCACTTAGTTTTATACATCAAGTTAATTAGTTCTTATGCTTGAAAGCGTTAGATGGAAGCTTTTTATAACAACAAGTATCACAGAGAGGAATTAGCTTGTTATGAAACGACGAGTTTTTTGAATGTTCAATGATGGCGCTACTATGTATAATATAATAATAAAGAGAAGCTTCAAAGCGGTGATTGTTAGAAATTAACATCAGTAAACTCAATTTGGACTGTCAGTATCACAATTTGGTAATGATAAAAATTAAAGTGGAACAAATAACGAAAACGAAAAAAATATATCCCGAGTTCAGTTCGGTGGCGGTTGTAGAAATGTTCAAATATGTAAAATGAAACACTTTGTTTGAAGCTGGATGTCAACTGGCTTTATTCATTTAATACATGAGTTTCTAACTAACATAAACTTAGGGGTAGTGAGGTTACGACGCTGTATTAACAAAAAAACTAATTTGGCTTACTTAAGGGCACTTCAATATAAATGATACAATATAATTGATGAGTGTTAGAAAAAATAAATGGCTTATTTTGGCTTCAAGTGTTCGATGATTGCTAACATTTAGTTTGCGCTTCTAATTATTTACTTATGTAACTTAACTAGGTTTAAGAATAACTTTATTTCTCATAAGAATTGCATACATAATTCACTTACTGTAACTGTACTTACGTAACAATATGTAAAACTAAGATTAATAATTAGAGCGCACAGATGTATGTATATTAAATAACAAAACAAAACAGCAACAAAAATGTGGGTAGACATAATAAACTCGATGAGTGAACTAGTGTTAGGTTACATAACTCCCGCCTGATCTTAATATGTATCAACAACGAACGTAATAACTTATGAACCAAGAAATTGTATTTATTGATTTACACGTAAACAATCCTATTCAATATGAAATTATGCTATACATAATAAGGAAATTTGCCACAGCATTTTACCATATACCTGGCACTTGTCAACCCGTTGCTGCGTTGAGCTTTCTAATTGCCCGGCTCCCGGTACCCGGGACGATTATGCCCGGGTCAACGTCATACTCGTGTTTAACCGGTTTACATTTTACGATTGCTCTGGGAATTATATATCAAAACTTTGATTTATTACACGTGTGATATAGTTAAAGGTAGTTACTGGAAATCTGTTTGTACTATTTGTTTTATTCGGTTGTGTAAACTTGTTTTATCCGTAAAATATAAATTTATTTTAGGTATATATTAATGCGTGTTAACTTTGGCTTTGAAGTTTAAACAGATGAACATCATTTTATATTACATATATATATTAAAAAATAAAAAGTTAAAGTAAAAGTAATTAGTCTGAGCTTATAAAAGAGGAAAACGTGAACGCGAAGACAAAAAGTTACAACTCTTTGAACTTAAAAGTAATTACCGAGAAATGGATATTTTGACTTTCCACAACAGATTTCGTCCTAATTAAAAATATCGAACGTGAAAAAACTTCATAATCAGGCTTTTCATGTTCCTATTTTCGATTAACGGCAATTTGTGACGCAGGCAAAAAGGAACATTTGAATGGAATGATATACAACTCTGTACGTTTAAGATAAGTGAAGTTTAATAAAATATAAAAGCCAGTTTTATACAAATTTACATTTCATCTGTGAAAAGATTCTATGTATTATAAAAACACTTGTTTAACGCTCAAAGCTCAAATACAGAACACAGAAACTTAAAATTTTGAAGCTAGTAAGGAGGTTTTGTTAAACCCGACGTTCGAAGTTAAAAAGCTTTAGCGAATCTATAATAATAATTATCGCTTAATAGCTATTATATATATATTCAAATAAGAGAAAAAATTAATAAAACATAACAGAAGATTAACTTAACAGGGGAGCGTGTAGTTTTTTTGCTCAGATCATGTCGACGTGGACCACTTGATAGAGAATAGGATAGGATGTTAGAAGGGTGTGGTGGGTTTATCGGTTTTATGCTGTGGTTTAATTTTTTCTTACTACTCTGCTGCTACTTACTACGTTACTTTTTTCTTTATAGATGTATAAAAACACCTCCTTAGTGATATTGCATACCTTGGATCAGTACCCGGCGAAATAATGTAGTGGTAATAAATGTAATAAATGGTAATGTGGTTGTACTGTAGTGGAAGTAATCATAGATTAGTAGTCACAAAAGATTAATAGCCTTACATTAATGATAAATTAAACATTCCTCCAATTTACAAGACGACCAGACACAATTTACAGAATACATATGACATGTTATATGAAAACTGCCAAGCTCCTTACAATCTCATTATATGTTTTTTTTTTGTATATTATGTATGTGTATGACTTATACTAATATCTGTTGATTACAGCTGAAATAACCGGCTTTCCCGTGTCAAAGACTAGTGCACATCTATTACACTTAAGATCGTTGCTCAAAGGTTGGAAAATTGTTTCGCAAAGTTATTACCGCAGATTAACAAATATTACATTGTAGTGTCCTATCAAGTGTTGAAAGTGTGTATGCATTAGCGATACATCATAAAATAGCGATTTCACTAACGCAACGCGTCACCATGTTATGTTATCTTTCGCATTACATTAATCACTCCAATATTAATTAACTCTAAAATCGTAAATACGCTGTTAAAAATGCTTTCCTAAAATAAATAACCTAATGACATCATTAACGTAACTTTTGCGCATCTGTATAAAAGTTCTAACATATGCGTAGTATCATCAAACAATCAAATGTAACAATATTATTTCATTTTGTTCTGTGTTCTTGTTGCTTTAAAGCCTCGGGGATTGAAAACATAACATAGCGGAGTGTTGCTATAAAGCTCTCGAACCAACAAGGGTTTTACCTTCAGCTGCTATAAAATATTAAAAAAAGCGTGCGTACAAAGTACACATGTCAGAAGCGAAACTTCTTTGGCAAACAAATTTTTAAGTCTATCATACAAATCTAAAACTTTAGATTTACGAGACTTAGAGGGAGGGAAAAATAAAGATATGTTAGGAATTTAATGAATTTAATTGTCATTAAAATATTAAAAGTGTCGAAAATTAATACAAATTAAAAATTTAATTTTTTTTATTTATTTCTTCGATAATAACAACACGTGACATTTTAATTTACAATTCGTCATTTGAGATTTCAATAAATTATTTTGCATAAAATATAAAATACTAACATTTTAACTTTATGTGTGTGTGGTTTCCTATGTAATAAATGTTATGTATATGTCTACATTTCATAAATTCTTTTTATTATATTCATAAATTTTAATTTTTAAAATAGAATTTTTAATTCGCCCTTCTCACTCTCTCTTAATCAGTCTCAATCGCTCTCTCCCTTTTCTTCGACAAAAACGCTGCACATCTTCGTGACGATAATATTATTATTATTGCGTTTCATCCGTAAACAATTTACCCTCATGCGCCTAAAGAAGTTTCACTCAAAAAGTATGGGACCTCAACGCCCAACGCCTCTACCACATAACTTCAAATATAGGTCGCTATTGAGATGTTATGCTACTTAGCCAAAAGCGATATTAATTATTGTTTGTTTTTCCGTTCTCGCGCATAGGCACCTAGTTGGTGTATGTAATGATTGTTTCGAGAATAGTTTCGGTTTTGGTTGTGTACCAATGGACTTTCTGTGTATGTGGGCATACGGTTAAGAAAAATATCGCGAGGAAACAGGCTTTCCTTAGATCTAAAAACCCGACGGCTTGTGTCAGGTACAGAAGGCTGACCAAGTAGGTAGGACCTATTAGAAAAACAATTGATCACGAGACATATACAGACATTTGAGAAAAATATTATGGCTATTTAGCAATTAGATATACTTACCTATTTCTAATAATTGTTATAAAACTTATCTATATCTTCCTATGGACAGTGGAGAACGAACCCATTCTGTAACTCAATATTATGTTAGAAACTCGGCTCGGAGTGAATTGTGAATTTTTTAAAAGTCAACATCTCTATGAAAATGCTCTACCTCATTCTGAGACGAAGTCTTAAGGTTAATAAGTCTTTGCAATTGTTCACTTTGAACCGGAATTTTATATGATCTTATTGTAGTTCACAATCAATTTGTTTTTAATATTATATGCCTCAACCGTTAGTTCGACAGACTATAGTTATCCGATACAAAATTAACTTTTCGAATCAAACCTAAATAGTATGTGAGATAGCGCCCTGCAATTATGAAAAGAAATTAAATAATAAAAAGGATATCTTTAGATTAGACCATTTGTTAAATTAACCAATGTACAATGAGTTTTTTTAAACAGACTACTGATTATTGTGTAAATAAATAAATAAAGTGAAAATCGTATTAATCTAATAAAAGTAGTCATTTTAATTCAATAATATATTACAAATATTCATTTATATATTATCAAATATCTGAACAATTACATTACACTTAAAAGCCGAAAACGGAATACACACTCATAAAACACAGTTAACAATTATTACCTACTAATGCCAAAAAATAAATATAAATAAAATATATAATAAATTGTAAGATGCATTGATCATTATAATATATTTAATATAAAAGAGGATTTAGGTGTATTATTTGCTGGTAATTTGTGTTATAATATGAAGGCATACGATACATGACTGAGTTACGTAAATAGTTTTAAACCGAGGAATAATGCAAATACTTCTGTGCTATAGGTACCTACTAAAGAATGCCTTGGCTCCACAGTCCAATAATATTGTGTATACTTACTCTGCGGTGGCAATTTGTATGTATACAAAAAATATTAATTGTCTTGCAATTGTTTTTCAGTGACCGCTCTACGGGAGCATTGGGATGAGGCCAACGCACGCGTACTTCAGCGAAAAGCGCAACTCGACGCCATGTTGGGTGACTCGCAGCGATACGAAGCGCGCAGGCGCGACGCTGACGCGTGGCTCTCGCGTATGGAAACCCGGCTGGCCGCTATGACTGCGCCTGGGCACACAGCCGACGTACTCGAGATGCAGCTTAGAGAACAAAAGGTATTGTATTCCTAATCAGCATAGATGGATAGGTAGATAAGTTAATTTTGTAATTGTGGCAAACCTCGAGTCTGTGTGTCTGTGGGTGTCTCTTCGCGTCCAACTCGACTGTGGTTGACCAAGGGTGGTCACCACCGACCATTTCGCGGTGTGATACCTCGATGCCGGAAATCATATTCTGGCACCGTGCTGTCCGCAAAGCACTATCTTCCTTGGACATTCATTAGTCTGGTCTGATGGCATCCTCCCAATTGTGCTGCATAATTGTGCTGCATAATTATGCTCCTAATTTGGCACCGGTCTTAACGGGTTTTTTTTCGGTAGAAAGGTCGAAGTGCTGGGAGACCGCTTCAGTACATCCGATCCCTAAAAAAGGCGATCGCTCTGATCCATCCAAATATCGCCAATATATTCTCTAAAATATTGGAAACCGGCCAGCTGAGGTATCTAGAGAGGGCCACCAGCGATTATTAGTATGGCTTCCGTTGTGGTCGTTCAGCTGGAGACCTTCTTGTATACCTTACACATAGATGGGCAGAAGGCGCAATGGAGTCCAAGGGTGGGTGCTTGCGTTAACTTTGGACATAGCGAAATCCTTCGATCGGGTGCGGCACAGAGCACTTCTCTCGAAGCTTCCAGCCTATGGGCTCCCCGAAAAAGTTATGCAACTGGATTCCCAGCTTTCTGGCTGATCGGAGCATCAAGGTCGTGATCGAGTATGTTCCGACCATAAATACGTGAACGTCCCACAAGGCTGTGTCCTTCCTATCCCCGGCCCTGTTTATTCTACATACTAATGATATGTTGCAACATTCATTGCTTTACGGACGACAACACTGGGGATACTCTTTACCGACCTATCCCTTTTCGAGCGGATTCATTCCTTGGCGTTGCGGAGAAATGTAGGGTCACTCTGCATCTTCTGCCGAATTCACCGTGGAGAGTGTTCAGAGAAGTAGTTCGGATTAACACCTGCAGCTGAGTTTCATTATCGGACGTCGAGACAGAATACGAAATTCCACTCGCTTTTATCAGTGCATATAAATTTATCAATTTTGAATCTATTTCATGAAAGGTTGACTAGGTATATCATGAAGTAAAGAAATCTATAACTGGGCTATCATATAACCTAATCTCACAGAGTCGTTCCGCAAGGCTGCATCTGAGAGCCAGCCAAATTCTAACGCAAATCGCTATGAGCCTATATCAGTTTCTGACTATAGCTAATAGAGACTTATAAGGAGATTAAAAATAATATAAATAAAATGCACAAGCAACCCTGACATTTGGCTAGTTATAATAATAACATGCAAACCCCTTCCCCTATCGAGCGGTGATTAGCGACTACACAGGGTTGTCGAACGCAGAATTATATTATATAAAGGAATTTTAGTTCTTTAGATAATCGTAATAAAATGCTGTTTGATTCACTAGTTGAACCCTTTTGAATAGACTGCTAAATCTTGTAACTTCTCCTCTAACGTTCCTTTTATTGAACTAACACAATGTTAAAAAAAATATTTATATAAGCAAAAAGTTAGACTTGAGAGTTTTTAAAAATACCAAAGGTAAAGTTCTCATCAATATATGAATGTAATACAAATAGATACAATTTATAGATTTTTCAAGACCAAATTAGGACCGAAAAAGCAAAGTACCAGTCTAAACAAACAAAGACCTCAAGTGTTTTAAATCAAACTGCAGGCTTTAATATTTAAATCATTGATAGCCCTGAAAGTCAGCATGTCTGGAAAGCTCGGAACTTACAAGTAATTCAATCAAAAGTTTCTTTAATTACATTAAACTTATGTTCCGCTTTTAATCACGTACGTCATTAGTAGCTACAGCTGTTTATTTTCTTACGAACCGTTATTTTCTACTTGAAAGTAATATAGTTATATCATTCCTCCTCTATGTTAATTTAAATAAATAAAACGTATATATTATATAATATATAAAATTCTCGTGTCACAATGTTCGTTCCCATACTCCTCCGAAAGCGATTCTTATGAATTGTTTTATGCATATTCAGTAATTCTGAGAATCGGCGACTATCTATCTTTCAAAGTAACTTCCTAAATATTAAGAGTGGTCGTGACCCCTAAATTTTTATTTTTATTTTATAGATAAATTTTATTGTTTTTTTATGATACAACATACAAATATACATACAACCTTTAATTTTCACCCCTCTACGATCAACCCTTATTTTCTATTATAGTAGATACATAGTTATTTTTATTAAATTAAAAAAATGTTTCCTAGAAACAATATACATGGCAAAACAACGTTTGCCGGGTCTTCTAGTATATTATAGAATAACAAAAGTAATAAAAACGTTTGCATGTTAACCAATATCATTAGCTTTGACAACTTTGTCTCCAAAGCATATATTCTCTGAACTAAATAAATACCGGAGAGTTAGAATACATAATATTTATCACAATGGTCTAACAAAGGCAACTTTTTATGTAATATTATGAGATACTACTACAAACACTGACCTCATTTTTCATCTGTATATCATGCTTATAGTATACAAACCCGTACTAGTGAATAGTTTTTATAATTCATGTTTTTATGCGCATTATATTAATAATGAAAATTTATTTATGATTATTATATTACCACTGAAACCTTTATTCTATTTGATATTTTCAGTCGTTCCATGCGGAAGTTCACCAGTACAAACATCAGATTGAATTGTTCGGTCAGCTCACGCAGAGGCTGATAGCTGTGTACCGAAACGATGACACTACAAGGATCAAACGAGCAACAGAAGCGATCAATCATCGATACAACGAGCTTAACAATAGGTAAGCAATGTTATTTCTATAACAGAGAGTATAAGGCATACAGTAAAGTTAATGTTCTGTTACTATGCATATTATAAATATAGATTATTAAACCTATATTTGATTGTTATTACTCTCAGCAAACAATATTTAAAATTAATGAGGATCACGTGTATGAAATTTATTGCGATATACTCAATACAACTATAATAATTCGTTATTCGAATACCTTCGAAGTTCACAGTTTAGTAAACAGAGGTCGCTATACCGAATTTCTCATGCAAACACAGATGGCGCTGATATTCATACTAAGGAAGTTGCTAAAGTTCTTACGGAACTTTTAACTCTGTCTCTGTATAAAATATTTTTTGATATTCTGTAATTAATAGTTCTAATGCAGTTTATATTATTTTGTTATTTATTAATGGTACTTTGTTGGAAATGCTATCCTAGATAAATACATACTGTACGGTTCGTGGGTCATCGTGGTGCTTTAAATAGTAGTGGATTTTATTTTTACTTTATATTAACCACTCGCTTACAACAATAGAATATAAGAGTAATAATGAAATGTTAATTTCAATTAAACGAATGAATGCAATGTAACAGTTAAAGAGAGTGCCTACGTCTGGCTATGCTCTCGGGTCGTAACTCCGACGATTTAGGAAATCACCGTGCTTATAAAACTAAGAAAGCAAGAGTGAGAAAAATGTACAACCTTGGATCGTTCACATACTCAATATAAGATTTTTCCAAAATCACCGTATTTTATGTTAACAAATATAAATTGTGTTATTGCTCTTTTAGTATCATTGCGCGTGGAAAAGCACTTCACTCAGCTGTGTCGTCTCTGCAAAACTTTGATCGGTCACTTGAAAAATTCGTAGCCTGGCTAAGCGAAGCGGAATCATTGCTGGATGCGGCAGAAAGGGATCCTCATCTGCTCAAGGTATTTAACCATTACCAAATATTTATAGCTATTTCATTGAAAATTCAAAGCATTAAAAAAAAACAAAAACTCTCCGACCTAAAATTTGTGCAGAACGCGCGAAAAAAATGCAAGCAAATATCTTTAAATTTAAAAATAATAATATCCGTCTTAAAAGCTGCTAGAAAATTGAAACGATAGTTGTGTATGAAATGCATTATCATGATTTGGCTCATCATCAAGAAGAATTTAATGGTTTAGATTTTAATATGCTATTATAAATTTTCATTTAACGTCTAAGTCTAAAACGAAGACTTTTTCTTTCGTTTCTCTTTTTGGCGCCATCTTTTTATTACATGAGTAATAAGATAGAGTCGGTTCATTAGTCTCTCCAACGTACAGATATGCTTACTATGATTCTGGCAAGACCGACAGATGTCGCTTTCTACAAGTTTACATTTGCACTTTCATTATATTGGTGTCTGTACGTGTACAGAGACCAGTCTCACAATTACAATCAGGCGTTACATTTTTACCATCCGTTTCGTATAGAGGACGTTGAAACATATTTTGAATATAGTAAAGTAAACGATAAGGGTTTACTTTTGTATTACTCAATTTGAGGTTGATATGAAGATACTTTCATACAGTTATTTCGCTAATATACAAATATGTCGACATTTAAAACAATGAAAAGTATACTGAAAATTCTACTGAATAGGCCCTTGATAAAATCGTATTTTTTTCATAGATGTTATGTAAAATGAATTGGTGGATTATATTCGCTTCTTAGCTACATTGGTTTAAGTACAAAATTCAATCCTCACATTTATACTCTGAAGCAGTCGACGGTTTTCATAAAGGACAATGATTATTTAAAAAAGTAAATATAAATGTTAGTCCAGAAACTATTTTAATACCAACATTAACGCAGAAGGCAGCTAATGTATAGCACAATCAAAACTTGGGCGTAGTTTTAAATTATCCGGGCAAAGTTAGGAATTGTTTTGCGCAGAGTTCCACTGAAATGCTGTAATTATTTGCACTTAAGAAATTATTTGTTTTGCGCTTTTAATTTGAAACTCTTTATACAAGTATTTTATTAGGTTATCTTGCCCGCTTACTGAATAACGGTTTATTTTAAACATCATTATTTTATCTGTAAACTAGACAACAGAACTTTTTATTATGGTAACATTTGCATAGTTATTAATTTTATATGTAAACTGAAGGATTGTTTTATGTACAATTTTGTTTTATAGTTGGTCCGTATTTGTTAAAATATTTATGAAATAATTCAAAACATAAAACCTTTGCAATAATCCATCTCACTGTTTCCATGGCTTGTCGATTACAAGAAATATATAATATTTGTTAGAATGTTGTTATTCTGTTTCTTCATGTTTCAAAATTATAAATTTTACTTATGTAGTGATATTATAAATGACATTTATCAGATTATTTTAATACTAAGGCCTCACCGAAGATGTCGTTTAAGAACTCTTGAGATGATAGATTAATTCCTTATTTGTATATAAATATGGAGATAGGTCTATATAAGCAAACTGTATGATAAAAATCTATTTATGATATATAATTTGTATTTTTTTTTACAGGTAAGTTATTCTTTTACGGGTCATTACATTATCAGGTAAGTTTTACTTTAACACGGAACAAACTTTTGAGAATGGGTATTATATTCTTTTTTGTTAATGGTTTGGAAAAACCAAGTAAGCTGGTTCCACATAGTTGAGTTTTATTTCGAACAGTGGGCATAGTCTTATTTAAGTTTTATTTGACAATACAATTCGGATCTGAAGTCAGTACAGTGTTGCCGTGTTACTTCTCCAGTCCAGTAGACAGTAGAAGATTAACAATTATAGTGTTAGTAGTGTAAAATGATGAGTACAAACAATAATATAATTAGGACTAACATTGATATTGACATGAAGTTCGATGTCTTCTTAAGACCAAACGTAAAAGCTCATATACGTAGTTGGTCCCAAAGTTCTGTCACTGGCACATTATTTTTAAATTACGAACATGATTTTATAAAAAAATTATTGCATTCTATTTTTGATTGTTTGACTATTGTTTTAAAACAAAAACAATCACTTTCCGTAAATTTTCAAGATGGAGTGGACATTGAAAGAAAACCGAATAGCTGTTATTGCGTTGCACCGCTGTGGGCACTCGGCGAGTACCATTTTCAAGTTGCTCAAAAATTTAAATATAACGCTTAGGTTTGTGTACCGTACTATTGATAGGTACAATGAAGTCTCCAGTGTTGAGGACAAGAAAAGAACTGGCCGGCCACGCTCCGCAAGGACACCAGCAGTGATCAAAGCTATCAAGGCGCGGATAGCAAGAAATCCTGTCCGAAAACAGAAGTTGATGGCTTTGCAGATGGGTGTCAGTAGGAAAACAGTAAAAAAGGTTTTAAATGAAGATCTTGGTCTACGGGCATACAAAAGAAAGAGTGGGCACCTACTTAATGCTCGTCTAAAAGCAATAAGGCTTAAGAGATCGCGGGGTTTGTTAAAGCGGTACGCGAAAAACCGACACCGTGATATCCTCTTTACGGACGAAAAATTTTTCGATATTGAAGAGAAGTACAATAAACAGAATGATAGAGTGTACGCTAGGAGTTCTGAAGAAGCTGGAAATAAAGTTCCGAGGGTGCAACATGGACATCATCCATCATCAGTAATGGTCTGGTTGGGAGTGTCCTGTTACGGGCCAACTGAGGTTCATTTTTGCGAAAAGGGGGTCAAAACCAGTGCAAAAGTGTATCAAGACACGGTTTTGGACCAGCTTGTCAAAGACCTGCCCAGCACGCTATTTTCGGGACATCACTTTGTGTTCCAACAGGACTCTGCGCCTGCACACAAAGCCAAGACCACTCAAACCTGGTTTGAGCGTCAAAACATCGACTTAATTAGACATGAGGATTGGCCTTCCTCCAGTCCAGACCTTAATCCTTTGGACTATAAAATTTGGCAGGTCTTAGAGAGGAAGGTCTGTGATAAACCCCATAAAAATTTGGAGTGTCTGAAGTCATCTTTAAAAAAAGCAGTCACTGAAATCGACATGAATATGGTGCGTGCTGCGATAGACGACTGGCCGCGGCGCTTAAGGGCCTGTATTAAAAATAAGGGAGGTCATTTCGAATAATTTATGCTATTTCTATTTCTTAACTTATGTACTATTAATTGATATATCACTCATTAAAAACTGATCAGTACTTTAGTTTTTATCATTATTTCTATTTATGACAGAACTTTGGGACCGACTACGTATATGCGCATATGGCAAACTATATTAGGATTCAAAAACATATTAACATGGACTTTCTGATATTTTGTTTCTATCTAAGGGAATATCATTTAAATGTTATTTATATTGTTGTTACGATAAATATATACTTGTTTCGTGAATAAATTATAGTTCCTTTCATAACTAGAGTAACGATATTAAGGAGAGAGAGAGCAATAAAATTGCCGAAATATAATGAGGTATGAAAGCTTATTTAGTGCCGTTCGTTATTATTCGAAAATTGAATGCTTTTATCGAGAAGTCCGTGTTTCCTTCCAATATTACACTATTTCCGGCGAACGATGCGGCGTTCGACGGCTGATCTATAACGAGTAACGACGCTAGTTACGGACCCCTGTGACATCATCATATTTTGTGGAAAGTCGACTCTGATGAGAACGTGTTATTCTTTTCATATTTTTCTGACAAGGTCATAAATCAGTAGACTATATTGGTTGTCTGAAAGCTATTTTTTTTGTTTTGGTTATAAAACCCATTTAATTATAGGTGTAGTTGTTTAATGTATTGACAGATTTTCTTCGCCATTTCTAGTACATTAAGACTCATTATATGACAAACTGTGATTGTTTTCCCTTAATATAAAAAATACATCCTAATATGTCAAACTTATATTCCTTTACGATTTAAATATCGGTTTTTCTCACAATATTTTCACAGGCGTGTTCACATCCTATTAAAGTGAAGCTGCCTACCTCCTTTGATCCTTTTCTTTTCCTCCCCCTATTTTGTTATGATCGGGATTAAAAGAAATTCCGCGCGGGTGGCTTCTTGAGAAATAGCTTTATATGTTTTTCCGTCTGTTACGGAATGGCGTTAGATGTTTTGATATACGTAGATTATCTATTCAAATACTTATTCAACATTAATTTTAGGCTATTACAATAGTTAGTTTACGTTATTAGTTAGTTTAAGTGTCTTTAATTAGCGAATAAAAGCGTCCAAAATCGCCACCAAGATTGTGACCGTAGGTGGTGTGAAATTATTCAGATTAAATAAAACTTTTAAAAATTCAACCATGTCCGTAGTAATAACAAAGATTAAGCTATCATCATCAAAAAGTTTCTGATTTTTATTTTATTTTAAATGTTTAGAAGCTCCCCCTCGTATGAGAGAACCTTATTGACTCCTTTATTGTCTAAAAAGGCTCTTGTAATGAATGTTTTGAATTTCATGTAATAGTAGAACTATGTAGCTACTATGATGACGCCTGGCGCCTGTTCGATCCATTCCGGACCGAAATATCCAAACTTAAATGCACTGAAAGCCCTGTATACGTAGAGCACAGCCAAAGGCGGAGCGAAATGCCTCAATAGTAAAAATATATTTTACATTCGTATAGTACTAAGACTAGATGCCAATTAACATTTATTAACCGGTACGAAAATTTGTTTACATGAAATAATTTTTTCTATGTGTATTGTGTATGTTAAATAAAAATAGCTGTTATAAGACGTAATATTACGTTCGTGAGCAGTGTTGGCCGAGTGGCTTCAGCGTGCAACTCTCGTCCTTGAGGTGCGACCTACGGGTTCGGGTACGGGTTCGATCCCCTGCTGTGCACCAATGGACTTTCTTTTCTATGTGCGCATTTAACATTTTCTTGAACGGTGAAGGAAAACATCGCAATTAAACCAGCTTTCCTTGGACCCAAAAGTCGACGGCGTGTGTCAGGCACAGGAGACTGATCACCTACTAGCCTATTAGATTGACAAATGATCATGAAACAGATACAGAATCGCCCCGACCTAAAAAGGTTGTAGCGCCACTGAATTTTTTATTTATATATTCCTGAATTTCCTTTAAGTCGCCATTTTGTGGCATATATGTAAGGGAATTTTAATATATATATTTAAATTGAAAAAGAAATGAAACTATTAGTAACTCGGCAATACTATTTGATAATATCGCTAATCGCTCCGCTCATAAGTACGATATGCTACGATCAGTTCAGGGCATGCGGGTGTAGCACGTTGTACGAGCCATAATGGACGGGTTAATATTGAACTCCATAAATAAATACTCCAATACAAGATAACCGCTAAAGGATTCAGTTTAATACTCAAGAGCGATACTCTCTTTATAAATAGACGTACTTCACGAAGTTAGTCTTCGGACAATACAATGTCTTACTATTTCTGACTCACCGCTTTGAATGCAGATTATATTATAAATAAGGCATTTTTATTTATTTATATAGACTAACTAATTACGTACACAATTATTATTGTAAGAAATAAAATACGTTTTTTACACTTAAAGACACCGAGTTACAAATAGAGAAATCTAAACGACAATCTTTTTTTAATATTTACATATAACGACTAACATTTGTTTCAAGTTACGTATACTCCTAATTAGGCAAGGGCTACATACATACATGATTACACTTGAAACAACTATTGGTCCCCCGGAAATCGAGTCCTAGACCTTCGGGTTTCACACATTGTGCTGACATCTAAGTCAAGGAACGTTACCGATACAGTAAATCTTATTTCATTATTTTCAATAAATCAACTTATGAAAACAGAGATAGACTTAATATTAAAACACTAGAGAAAAAGGATTGATTTAATTATTTTGCCGATAATATTATAAAAAACTTGGAAACTTGAAAATACGTTATAAGTGTTTCTTTTTTCTTTTTTTTTATAGAACGGGGGGCAAACGGGCAGGAGGCTCACCTGATGTTAAGTGATACCGCCGCCTATGGACACTCTCAATGCCAGAGGGCTCGCGAGTGCGTTGCCGGCCTTTTAAGAATTGGTAGTTTCAAATATTTCACAATAAAATTTTCTCATTTTATATTACTTTCTGTCTACCATAAGCTAATCGTAATATATTGACACGAACTTATATTATATACAAGTACATCACCAAATATACCAAAATCATTGTTTAAATCTTTCCAACATGTGTTTAATAAGCTAAGGTATTGAAAGAGCGCCGTATAAAGAGAAAAATCATAAAATGTTGATTTACGAGAGTTCGATATAGAGCGTACAAGAGAGTTTATAGCGCATTACACTTTATAACAGCCTCATAACTATGTCTCTCTATATAAACTCGTGAAATTTTCTTTCAAAATACACTCTAAATTATAGAATTTTATTAACGCTACTACGTATCGTATATTGTGTGGAAACAAAATAAGAAAAGAAAGATAACAATAATAATAATAATAAAATCGCCTCTTCACAATATGGCATTTTACGGGTTTACAGGCTTCGCCATATCTGTGAGTGAAGCCTATAATAGAAGTCCTGTGGTAACAGGTCACCAGTCTTCCATCGCAGACAGAAAATATACAAAATCATGATTACATACTATGACTAAACTTAATTAATAAATAAAATAAATCCAAAGCATGAGTGGTTGTGGGTGTGTGAATTAAATGATCACCTAATAAAGTATTAAAACAAGTTAAGGTGTTATGGATTTATTAGTTTACTTCTAATAGATGTGTTTTCTATATCACGTATCGTTAGTAGAAACTGATAGTGTGAGAGATGTTGTTAATAAAGTTTGACGTAACGGTGTCACGACTAGCTCTAATAGGTTTAGGGGGCGAGTTCGCCCCACCATGCCTGTCCCATTTACCTTTGAAAGTAAACTCGACCCACAGAACTGTTGACGCATAGAGCACCTACTGCATTTATATTTCGCACTATTCATTTAAATACTAACACACTTCTCATGTTATAAATACAAAGGCTTTAATGTTGATTTAAAAAAATATTTTTGGATGTTGTTTGCCTTTTGATAGTGTAAACTCTCTGTGACCGATCTAAAATTCAAAATTCAAAAATCATTTAATCATATGGGTAACACATTGTACACTTATGACTTGTCAGTAAAGAAATACATATTAATGCTTCTAATTTTACATTTAGTGCCAGTTCTCAAATCAAGGGCGTTTACATAAAATATAACTTAGTATCTGATAAATCGTGTAAACATTTTTAGTGTGATTATAAAGTTTTTGAGCTATAACGAAAAAGTGCAACGAAATTGTAATTTACTACGATTCGTAGATGATCTACGAAAGCTCTCTGTATACGCGGACTCTGTAGTCAACGCCTGAAACCAAAACACGCGCTGCAGCGGGGCGCCGGGCGATGCAAGCTTCCCGTCAGTCGGCCGGCGGACGCCGTGCGCGACGCACGCTTCGCGCCATGTGACACTGCCTGCGGCAGCCATGACCGAGGGGGCGGGCAGGCCCAGGCCCGCGCCGCCCCGGAAGCCGGACTCTTTGACTCTCGCATGGCCACGATGGGACGATCCTCCCCCCACCCGCGCCGGATACAAAGCCTCCGCATCCTATTACTGATGATTTTGGTGGCTTCTCACCTTACACACCACCTAACCCAATCCAACCGGAGCGTCGGCCGAGGCGGCCCCAGAGCGTGGTGTCTCCGCGGCAGATGCCCGAGGTGGCGCGGCGGCCCCACTCTCTGGGGTCCATTGAAGATGACTGGCCCGTTCCACTGCTGCAACCCGTCCCGCGACGGCCCGTGCCCAATGTTCCGGCTCGCGCGACTTTCTTACCGTCCTCTCGCAGTGACTATCAGTTGCAAAGACCCGCGATTATGACGAACGGTTATGGTGCAGTGCCGCCGTCTACTTCGCGTAGGTTATCTTTACCCGGCGGTGGACAGAACCCGCCAAAGATGTCTGCTACGTTCCATGGGTTATCCGCGCTAATGGGCGTGCACCCGCCCATGGGTATGGGTACACCCATGGGCACGCCAATGACTCCGAGTACACCAGCAGCTGTAAGGGAAGCGGTGCGACACCTACTTCAGCAACCTAGAAATGGTTTTCCCATCATGGATCATAAACTTTCCTTATTCATTGACATTTTGGATGCACAGGAGAGATTTTCACAGGTGATTCTTAATTCCATTTATTAGTGTTCTAATTTAATCATGTCTACACAACTCCCAGTACGCTAAGTAGTACGTAGTACTTCACTAACTTGCTAATTATATGTAAATTTTATCTAAACATTAAGCGCTTTGTTTATGTTTAAAATAACCATTTAAAACAAATTCAGCAACAATATAACGCCGCCGTAACGACATGTTTTTAAATAATAATTAAATAGTGCACACCGCGTGCGTTTTAATTAATTTGAGCTAGATTAAAGTAAACGCGAGAAACAAAGCATATTTTCATAAGCCGAGTGTAGCGTTGTGTTAGCTGGAGGTCGTTATACGTTGTTATGTGAAGTCAAACACTTGTTTCAGGTACTTGTGCATGTCTTTTTTCACTAATTTTATTTTACTTTAGATAATGATCCTTAAAATAGCTTAGAGCTAGGAGTTAACATTTTTGTAACTTGCCACTTTATAACGAATTTGTGTTTGGCGTCCTTAAAGGGATTATACCGAATATTTTAACTTATTTTTAGAAATATAACTGGTCCAATTTTAAAACACCTAAATCTTCCTTGAAACTATTTTCTTTATTTTTTACTGACACCTTAATATTTTTATGAATTTATTATGCTTTGAGCATTGTTGGACGGATTTCCAAATAATATGATTCGAGATCTAATGTTATCAATTTATCAGATCTTAACGATAACTAAATTATTTTATAGAATATTAAATAATTGCTATTCTAGTTCAACTCAATTTATTGTAATTTATTTTTATTCTGTCATCGGGTTTCAAATTACTAGCTTTTTCTTTTAAACACTTAATATAGGTAGATATAACGTAGTACGAACGCTGTTTATATGAGTTTATAAATCAAACAAATCCGCGAATCACAGTGAGGTAAACTAAACTGGAATATGCAGCGGTTAATAAAACTGTGCGTGTTGCGAGCGAACTCACTGAAATACATTCCAATTCAAATTTTTACTCGTAAAATGCTTTATTTTCAGTGTAACTATTAGATTTTGGATCAACAATGCAAGTTTTTTGTTGAAACTATTTCAGAATGTGTAATAAATCAATGTTTTACATACGGTATAAATTTACGTTCGTTGAGTACTGGAACATATATTACTTATTTACTTCAACATTACGGCGATACTGTTAATTAATTAAATTTAATTCTGAAATCTCGTCTAGACTTAGCATATTTTTAATTCAGGATGCCTTTTTTAACTTTCCTACGCCACAAAAAAGCAGTGTTGGCCTGGTGGCTTCAGCGTGCGACTCTCATACCTGAGGTCGTAGGCTGGCACCAATGGAATTTCTTTCTATGTGCGCATTTAACATTTGCTCGAACGGAGGCTGATCATCTAATTGCCTATTAGATTTAAAAATAATCATAAAACAGATTCAGAATCTAAGGCCAAGACCTAAAAGAGGTTGTAGCGCCACTGATTTATTATTTATTTTTTCCTACCCGTTACTTAGCCTGTTAACTTTCGTAATTTCGCATGGGGATGACATGCTTCTATTTATTTTTAAATGGAAGGTAAAACAGATTAATGGTCTATAATCCTATACAATCTGTATAGAATACAAAACTCTTTCGCTAGAAATCGTACCCTTCTTCGGGTTAAAGTAATACAAGTGGTGAGTTTAAATATACAGACTTCAATATAAATAGGAAATGTTGTCATTTTCAAGCCTATAGAAACGGGAAATTAGGGTTATCTCATCGCTTTGAAATTAGACTGTGAACAATTAACAATCTGTAAGTTCGCTTTATCTCGGTGTGAATTTAGAAATGATTAGTTGAAACCTGGCCGGTTTCCCGAGTTCACTGAATGTTGAATTATTGAATTATACATTCCGTGAGGTCTGTGGACTGATAACTTTTGGAATCACCTGGCGTCGAACTTCGAACCATTTGCATTGCGCCACTCCATAAGTTTTTAGACTATATTAATTTATTCTTACCATTTGTTGACTTGAAATATATTTAGCGCACCAGATGTTAAAAAAATAACGAATAAAATTAAAACTTCATATTTTTAAATATTAAGAATCGTCGAACTTTTCAAGAGAAATAATGGCTGACTTACGCTTTTAAACATTTTTTTAGAACTGATTTCTTTAAACTGCGTAGGCGTTTTTTCTATCATGAATAGTTTTCGCAGCGCATGCGACGAAAGATATTTTATAACATTATTGTAGTTTTAGTAGGGATATTTATTTTTTTCTCGCAATTAAAATAGCCTATATTAATCAGTGGTAATGTAGCATTCAAATTCTAAAAGAATTTTTAGAATCGGTCCAGAACTTTTTGAGCCATTTCGTTACATACTTACATACAAATCGTTCCTTTTTATAATATTAGTATAGATAAGAAAATATTAGACTCTGTCACATACCTAATGCCCGCAACTAGTTTGCTTTCTAATAATAATTGAAGACTAGGTATTGTAAGACTAGGTACCTAAGGAAGGTATTCGCTTACCTGTTCCAAATTTAAATTTTGCTATTCTTTGATACAATGAAAGGGGTTGCATCGTTTAACAAAAGTAAAAATGTTAAAAATGAAATTCAGAAATGAAACTGGCATTAAAAAAATGATTTTCACAGAGCACTTAGCGCAGGGTTGTTTCGACCGCACGGCCGCGCGTCCCTGAGACCTATTGACCTCTTTCCTGAAGAATCCCCCCCTTTGTTTCAATATGAAATATCACGGATCATGCGAAACCTGAGATTTGTATACTTCACTTTCTATTAAATGATTCGCAAATACGACCGCCTCGCTTTATGAGCTTCAATAAATTATGACCTGAGAGTTTTTAGTACCTTGAATATGAGCTAACATTATTTACGCATTTTGCTCATTGACATTCCTTCAGGCAAGTAAACACAGCTTTCTGTGACGTAGACTTCACGACGGCTTCCATTTCCTTCACAGTGAGAGCCTAAGTTAATTACACATATAGAACGAAATACCCAAATTGGTACCGAGCTGGGTATGAGTCTCACTAGCTAACCGCCTTTTAAATTACATAGAAAAGCCGCAGAATAAAAAGATTCGGTATATTTGCCTATCAAAAAAAACCTTTAACTTGTTTGTGTGTTAAATCTAGCAACAGGGTTACGATGATATTTCTAAAATAAACCGTAACCACTATGACAGAAACCGTACTAATAACGTTACTCCAGGTTCTATAATAAGAGTAATAAATAAAAGATATGTACTGCCGCAAACAAGCACGTAAAAAAAAAACAGTGGCGCTACAACCTCATTAGATCTTGGCCTCAGATCATTTTTAAATCTAATAGGCAAGTAGGTGATCAGCCTCCAGTGCCTGACATACGCCGTCAACATGGGTCTAAGACATGTCGGTTTCCTCACGATGTTTTCCTTCACCGTTCGAGCAAATGTTAAATGCGCACATAGGAAGAAAATCCATTGGTGCACAGCCGGGGATCGAACTTACGACCTCAGGTATGAGAGTCGCACTCTGAAGCCACTCGGCCAACACTGCTCTAAAACCAGCACGTAAGGTTTTTTTTATTCTATATGTTTGAAATAGGAATTAAACGCGACTAATTTCCATTTGTACCTGTTTCTTGATTACATGGGTGAACGGAATGGAAGCTCATTACACGAAAACACGGGTTTTCCTTTTGTAGATAAGAGCAAGGTAGTTAAAAGAAAACCGCTAAATGCTAAGAGTACTAATTTGCGTTTTAAGGCAAATAAAACTAAAACTTATTTAAGTAATTAAAGTTACGAAAGTTTAGAGTTATAATATTTTATTTATATATACTACCTAATAAAAAGCTGTCGTTAGTCCACTTGTGTTGCCTACGGTTAAATCGGTAAACAAACGATGTTAACCTTCAGATAAAGAACTAACGTTAAAACCAATAATTCGCTATTCGAATACATTTATAATGTTAACAAAAAAATTACTTAAGAAAAAACAATTGTATGTATGATAATAGTCAGTGACCATTGACATGCACAGGGCATGACATAAATATATATATTTAATTAAGCTAATAAGTGTAGATCAGTGTTGGCGTAGTTGCTTCATGCGACTCTCATCTCTGAGGTCGTAGGATCTCGGTCCCCGGCTGTGCACCAATGGACACATTTCTATGTGCGCATTTAACATTCGCTCGAACGGTGAAGGAAAACATCTTGAGGAAACCGGCTTGTCTTATACCCGAAAAAAAGTAAGCGGTGTGTGAACAGATCCAAAAATCTGAGGCACAGACCTAAAAAGGTTGTAGCGCAACTGATTTCTTATTTTTTAAATAATTCATAATTTCTATAATCCTAATAACGTTACAGTAAAATCTTACTGTGATAGTATACCTTGCGATAAATCACACTAAAAAATTTAGTTTAAATGTCGTACTGTAAACGAAACTTCGTAATTAAGGTGCGAGCAGTTTAATCCGAAACCTACAAACATTCATTTAAATTCATTGTAACCTTTTTTGTCCGCATCATGTTTTCCGGAGTTACGTACCACTTAATGTCATCGATAAAGAATATTGTATGGCTACTCGACGCGCTCAGGCGGGATTATAATTTATAATATACTTAGTAACAACGCAATTGCAACGAAGTTCTGTGTAAATCGACCGATTTTGTGTTGTTTAATTATTTTTGATACGTTCACGTGATACAAGCTTCGATATTAATTATCTTTAAGCATAAGAGAGTACCAACGAGCGCGTAAACTTAGCTTTATGGCAGTTCCAATATAATTTGAATATGCGTCATTAATAATTGAACCGCTAGTAGATATTTATTTTATTTATCCTGTGCCATGGATTTAATGAATTTCTCAATAGATATTATATAGTCAAATTATAATGACGATATTATTGACCACATTAATACTTATGTGGGTGTGCTAATAAATTAAAAAACACTCACTAAATTTGGTTTGGTAATAACAGTTAATTAGGAGCAATTTGTATGGAGGCTTTTTAATTGTTAATTAATTTTTACAGATGGTAATAATTTA